ATTTAGGTTATTATTATTGTCCTTCCTTCTGTCTTACAACCATTTGTTTTCTGTTGTGTAACACTTTGTACGTTGTCTTTATATTCATGTTGTCGTTGACATACACACGCGTCTGCCATTGCAATGGTTTGGAAATTGACACACCGAACAATATTGTGAAGGGGAAACCGGGTATATGTGAGTTCTTCCACCTGATGAAATCCTGCGACATGTTGGATGTCCATGTACAGAAGATATATCGGAGTTATTTTATGAAAACAATATGCAGTCATAAACTTTTCCATGTTCCACCTGAAGATAGACATTATATTTGGTTACTCTATGTCTGAGCCTGAGTCTCATCCACATGATTATTTCCACCTGGTGATTGTCACCTTATTTAACTTGGTGTCATTTATTATCGACGCGTTATTATTTTTATAAAGTTTGATGCATGGTGTTGCTGGATGATTTTTTTACTGTATTGTGCTTTGAATCATGTTTCATTGTGATACAGACAAGAGATTAGCAGGGATTTCCGTTTGGGCTGAGGACAGGCTGCTTGGTTTCCTGCATGGATGACTCAAACAGAAGTTATTGCATTACAAAGAACAATAACAGCAATAAAAAGTTTTTTATTGAGGGTTTAAAGACACATGTGAATTTGCCTTTAACTTCAAAATCCAAACCAATTTAGGAATGTTTTCAGTTCAGGTTTTCTATTTTCTTTATTTCAGAAATTAAAGATCACAACTGAAAATGTCACGTTCCCTTTGCACAGAGACAAAAGACAGTGAACTGTACTTCAGGTAAGGTCACAGCTTCACCAGGGATTTGAACCAGCAACCCCTCCATCGCTGTTACCCTCAGCACGAACCGAGAGAGGAGCAGTTCACTGATGCCATCTAGTGGTGATCTGGCAGACCAACCCCACCTCCAGGAGAGAGTGAAAACTCCTCTCATGCTTTTTATTCTTTGCAGATATGAACAGTGCTGCAGCATCAGCACGTCAGGATTCAGATGCTTGGAGATTTGATGGTGAATGTGTAGAGTTGAAATATATTTCTGACCTGCTGCTGTGAACCATCAGATCATCAGGTCGTCTGGGACGAGTCTGTTTTCTGTCCCAGAGTCAAAACTACTCCTGGAGGAGCAGCGTTCAGTTTTTATTCTCCACATGAGAACTGCTGCAGCTCTGGGGTCTTTTAACTTCTTCTGACTTCTTAAAATGCTTGATTTGTGTCCAGCACGGGTTGACGTGTTGGAGATTTATCTTACCGGAGGTTTAAGTTTGTTTCCACCATAACATCATTTCCTGATTTTCTCTCATCAGCTCTTGACCCCAAACTCTTTCGAGACTCAAATTTGTTTGTATAAACATGATTAAGATTTTGGTCCCATTGAATCATCATGTGCAAAAAACAAAACTAACTAACTAACCAACCACTAACTAACCCACTAACTAAATAAATAACTAACTCCTGAGCTGCCTCATGACCTGAGAGGATCGTCTGTGCAGGAAATGATGCTGCCACATGCTGAAGGGTTTTGTCTCGTCTCTCTCATCCTCCAGGTTTTCATTGGCTCAGACGTTTTGTTAGATAAATTGACTCGTCTCAGCAGGAGACTGATGAACTTTACCTCATGACATTAATTAGAGCTTCCTTGTGTGACGCAGTCAGGTGTCAGCGTCTCGCTCTGGTGGAACTGAACAGAACGTGTGTTTCACCTTCTGTCTGCTCAGAGATATCTGTGTAATAAAACACTCCTAGAGCTGCTCCTCCGTCACATGTTGCAGATTCTCCTGGTTCTACAGAGTGAATCCACCTCATCGCAGGACGAGGTTGAATATTTGCAACGACATGGCCTCGCAGTTCAGGTTTACAGAGCTCACCGAGTTTGTTCTGCCTGACGGGACACGTTGTTTCTCAAAGGCAAACAGCATCAAAGCCACCTCTGGGGAGGACGGGGGAAGTGACGGTCCAGGATCTGGTTCATCACATGAAGATTATTGATGATCCAACACCTGGAGCTCACAGCGACGGCATCTTAATGTGAAACTTGTCTGCTGCTACTACAGGATACAGTTAGTTTCTTTCATACGTTCAGTTACTTGCTACATCTTTGTGACTATTCTAAAACAAAACTCCCAGAGCGACTGCTTTGTCGCCTCTGCACAAAAAATGGGTTTAAAGGTCAAAGTGATGAAAATGACCATAATACAATAATGCTCTTCGTGTCACGTCTTAGCATCGAGGACCCAAGTGCAGGGACAGAAGCAAGGAGACGAATATGAATTATATTGTACATAAATGTAAATATTCTAAATAATCTCTGATGGAAGAACTCAGCTGATCCATGAACTCAAACTAAGCTCGTCCAGAACAAAAGAAAAAACTAAAGCAGCAGAAAAGAGGTTGAACAAAGCAGGAACACACACACCTGAAATGAATTGAACTGATCCGATGAGACAAATCAAAAGGCCCAAACACAAGCAGGCGCTGAGTCCACGACACAGATCAAAAGTCTGCCGAGTGTCCATGGAGGTTTTTCTCTCCACAGTCGTCAGAGCTGCTCTTTGTGGGAACTGTTGAGTTTCTCTTTCATTGAAGGGTCTCAACCTTCTGTGTCAAGAGCCTCTCGATTTGAAGCTTTACAATATGAATTCAAATACTGCTCTTCAGTACAAGAGTCACATTTCCACCAGCAATATCTTCACTTGTGCTATTTTTGCTGCTTTAAATCAAAGGAGCATCAGAGCATCATGTGAGCAGCTCATTTCTCACAGTTTGTTTTTATTTCACTATTCTGTAGAATCTTACTCAACCTACCTAAACACGAGTTTCCTTTTTGTGTAAATGATGAAATCCTGTGTGAACAGAAAGTGAACTGTTTTAGAAGTAGTGGTTTGCAGTGTGTAGCTGTGCTGGACAAACTGCAGGATTGTGTAATTTTCTGACTCTGTCCAGAGTCCTGCTGCATTGGAAGTAAAATCAATGCGGCCGCACCATTGACACAGCTGTAGCTGTGACGTAATACACTTGTTTGTGATGTGTGTGGGACTCGAAGGTCCAAAGTGCATGTGTGCATGTGTGTGTGTAGAGTTGGATAGTCATAGATCACATGTTGTCAGGATTACATAATATATAACCATTTTACAAGACGTGTTATTCGGTCACAGTTGATGATGATGATGTCAAAGTGTGTCTGTGATACAAGGTGTCATGGAGAAGTTCAAGAAAGATGTTGGTTCAGCACGAAGGATTCCACGAAGCAGAAATCAAAACAGAACGTCTCAATTAAAGACGCCATCACTTCGTCGTCTCAGGTTCTGTCATCTGCTTCAGACCTAAACGTCAAATCTGGGGGGAGGACTTTGAGGAGCAGTGGGGAGACAGACGACTGAGTTAAACCAACCTGAACAACCAGCTGCAACATCATCGTGATCACCGTCATCACTACCATCTGACAGCAGACGACTCAACCCCTAGTTGGGTAGAGTAACTGGTGATGGAGTAATTCTGTGTGTGTGTGTGTGTGTGTGTGTGTGTGTGTGTGTGTGTGTGTGTGTGTGTGTGTGTGTGTGTGTGTGTGTGTGTGTGTTGGAGGGGAGGTCCTACATGGGGACTATTTCTCTGAGGGTTCACAGTAACTCAGTGTTTCTTTGAGCTCAGTCAGGATGAGAACAGAGCTGCTCGTTGTTTACCTGCTTCCTGTTCTGGCACAGGTGACGCTGCAAGGTAAGAAAACACCCACTCTTAAAAGGTGTAGCATGCTAACATGTTAGCGGGTCATTCATCAGAGTAAATGCTGTGTTCAGTGCATCTTCCCTTTCAGAAACTCACACAAATGAACAGGACGAATGGTTCAACTATTTTAATTTAGATTTTAAAACAAAATGGAGGAGGAGCTGAAGCTGGAGCGCAGGAAGTCTGAGTGCAAGTGCACGGAGGATGTCAGGACGTTCTCCAAAAGTCTATTCTCCTGCACAGAGAACATTCAGATGAGCAACAGTAACTGTAAAAACCAACGTCCAGCACAGACTCATCAATAAATCAAGCACCTGAATTGACTGTCACATGTTTCAGTTGTGTTGTTTGTTGTGTTGTTGAATGGTATTAAAGAGCTGAATCATCCACATGGTTTGACATGATGGGGTTGATATTTTCAAATCAAACTAGGCTTCAGAATATCTTGGATGTTTGGCGGTGATGAAACATCCACTGTACGTTAACTGTGACCTTTAACACACTTGTATCTTCAGCAGGGAGCGATGACCTCGTAGTTTCCCTGAAAAATGGCAGAGTCAGGGGGGGATATGTGACGGTGAAAGGCACCGAGAGACGGGTGAAGCAATACCTGGGAATCCCTTTCGCCCGGCCCCCCGTGGGGCCCCTCCGCCTGGCCGCTCCACAGGACGCAGAGCCCTGGGAGGGGGAGAGAGACGGCACACATCACCCCCCCATGTAACAAAGGCTGATCCCTAGATTACCAGATTTAACATTTGAGTCTTCTCTGTGGATGAGGCATGTTTCTTCTCTCTCGTCTCAGGTGTATCCAGGCCGCAGACAAGTTTGTGAATATCTCTCAGGTTCTCTCGATGACGTACAAACCCACAGAGCTGTCAGAGGACTGTTTGTATTTGAATGTGTACACGACCGCTGAAGCGAAGAGCGGGGACAAACTCCCGGTGGGTTAAAGAGACGACTCTCTAACTGATGTTGTTTTATTTTCAGGATTTACACACAACCTTCAGTCCAACACTTATCACACTTATTACACTTTAGGTGATTCAAATTCCCGTCAGTGCTTTTAATTCAACAGACGCCTCCTTGTAAAACCTTTCCACTTTTTATCGTTCATTGTCTTCAGCTCCAACAGAAGCTCACAATCAGCTCGATCCTTTAAATGAGTTGTGACCGTAAAATGATTTAATGCTCAAACACGTGACCTTCCTCAGACTGTCCATCGCTGCAGCTCCTCTTTTCAGCCTCTGTCTCAAACACTTGGTTTTAGCTGCTGTCTCCTTAAGACAGCGAGATCACACTTGATGTGACTCAGCAGGTTTGCAGACAGAGATGTTCCCATGGAGCGCGGTGGAGGTGAAGCAGACAGCTGTAACGTTGTGTGTCTGTGTTGTCGTGTGTCAGGTGATGGTGTGGATCCACGGAGGAGGTCTGGTGATCGGAGCGGCCTCTCATTACGATGGCTCTCCGTTAGCGGCCTATGAAAACATCGTGACGGTTTTCGTACAGTATCGCCTCAGCATTCTGGGATTCCTGAGGTAAGACCCTGTCCTTCAGATAAAGAGAGTGAGAACATGCACAGCGTCACAGTGACGGTTCTCCTGCTCCAAAGCACCGGAGACGAACACGCTCGGGGGAACTGGGGTTTCCTGGACCAGCTGGCAGCTCTGAGATGGGTGAAGGAAAATATTGAAGCCTTCGGAGGAGATCCTCAGACGGTCACAGTCGCTGGAGAATCTGCAGGAGGCATCAGCTCCTCCCTGCTGGTGAATAAGAGTTCACTTCATTGTTTAAAACACGTTGTTGTTCCTTAGGCACCAGATTACTCTTTATTGTTTTATTTTTATCAAAGCAAGTTTTAAATATCTGTTCTCTGCCGTCATTCATTCAAACATATTTATTTTTATCGTCATAAAACAAATGTCTTGTGTTTTCACTAATGTTCCATGATTTCTTGTATTTCCTTGTTTATTTAGAGATCAATTAATGGTTTTGTGTCTAAGTTTGTAACTTCTGACTTCTGACATTTTGAACTGAATGAGAGACGTTGAGTAAGAACAGTGTCAGTGATGAATTATATATATCTATTATGCATCAGGTCCATTTATCAAATATTAATTATCTGTATCTTTCCTCATGAACAGACTCTGTCTCCTCAAGCCAAAGGATTGTTTCAGAGGGCGATCTTTCAAAGTGGAGTCGCGACACTCGGGACCTCCCCCGCCTCCCATGCTTTGGGTTATGCTAAGGTACTGTAACATGTAAACAGAAATATAATGAGAACAAAGTTTTAATATAACAAGAATAAAGTTTTAATTTAATGAGACAAAAGTCACATCATAAGAATTAAATGAAATGATAACATCTCGTAAAGTCACAACCTTTTTTCTTGTAATATTTGACTTTATTCTTGAGATCTCAGATTGTGAGTGGCTCTAATAATGACTTCATTATGAATAACTGTAAATAACAACAAAACATAAATACAAACAAATGTTAAAGTTTAAAATATGAACCTATTCTGTTTATTCTTTAAGGTGAAAGTTTTCAAATAGGAAACATAAACACTGATATCGACATGTGAGTGAAAGACGAGTTCCAGTAAAAACCAAAGGAGTCCATGTTGTGGTTTGATAACAAGTTTAAGGAAAATAAAATTCCCACGTTCTGTAAATCTGCTCATTAAAAACATTTGTGTAACTCGGGCACCAGCTGATCTGCCAGAAGCAGAAACTAACGTGGGAGCGGACTCGATTTCTTCATGTGGGAAAATGTGCGTCATCTGTGAGGAATGACGGGAATGTTCTGCTGTCAAAGTTCAAAAGGAGGATTAAGACTTTATCAACCTGTGGACGGAGTGAACAAGCTCATTAGAACTAGAGTCAAACAACAAAGCAAACATGTGAAGAAGTAGAGAGTTGAAATGTTAGAAGAAGAAAATGAAAATGAAATCTATTACAAGAAAGAAATAGATTAAAAGACTACACCCCTAAAACTGTCTAAGATGTAAAACAATGATAAATTCAATAAATCATATTCAGTTAAAAGCCCATTAACGGTTCATTTCTTTTTTTTTGTCAGGTCGTTGCCAACCTGACTGGATGTGAGCACAGCAGCACACAGGAGCTGGTCCAGTGCATGAGAGGAAAAACTAAAGAGGAGCTGCTCCAGGCGACAGTGCAGGTAAAAGAGCCTGCAGACAGGAACAAGCAGCAGTTTGAGATGTTTTCTAATTTATCTATCATTTCCTGGACCCTTTTGTTTGCACAGTGCAAGTTGTGTAAAGTTGTTCAGTTTAATTCTGGAGAGTTGTGTCAACGTTACAAGGTTCTGGAGTTTATTCTCTCACATCACCAGGGGAACAAAGAAACAGAAGGTTTCCTTTTCTTTAGGCTCAGTGTGAAATCACTCATCAGAATTTAAAGGGTGAAGCCTGATGTTTGCCACAAGATGGCAGCCTGTGAACACACAGGGCAGGTCCTCCCATCGCTCTGGAAACAAATAAGTCCACAAAGAAGAGGTTGTGGGCGTGTCTGTGTCGGAATATATAAAAACTACAGAAGCTATTTCCATGGAATTATGTGGAGTCGTGGGTCGTGACCCCAAGAATGAACATTCAATTTTAATTTGAGCTCTAGATCAGAGGGCAGATCAAGAAACTTATTTCAGCATTTTCATTACAATTAAAATAAATCATGGATCTGGATAAAAGAAGCAGAAATATTCATGGGACTGAGTGTGTGCAAATAAAAAATTTGGGGAATGTGGGGCCTTGGAGAAGATACGAGCTCGACGGTGTGAAGTGTATTGAAAAAGACTTGAAACCAGAGATTAGCTGTGTCTCAATTCCATCGAGGGACCCGGTCTACGCACCCTTCATCAGCCGAACTGAAGAGACAGTCTGGTCTTCTGGTGTTCCTAATAAAGTGCTCAGTGAGGCCGTGTGGCTTCTCTTCATCCCCTCATGCAGAATGTTGTGTGTTTAGATGACGAGCTACCTGGGAGGTGTGGTGGATGGAGACTTCCTCCCTGACGAACCAGTGGAGCTGCTGAAGAGGAAGGAGATGTTGAAGGTTCCAGCGATGATGGGAATAACCAACCATGAGTTTGGGTGGCTGCTGCCTCAGGTCCTCTCAGCACTTCAGACACATCATCATCATCATCACCGCTGCGACCATTTGTTCCTTTGAATCTTGACTGTGACGCCCTGTGTCTCACTTTGATCACAGAGTTTTGCGCCCCCTGGCTGGGAGAACGGAATGAACAGAGAGTCCGTGATGGCAGTGATGAACATGTTCTATCCTGCAGGGGTGAGCTGACACTTGTGATGATGATGATGAAGATGGTTTATCGATCAACACAATTCAATCCCTGATAAATTCACTCTAATTAAAAAAAAGTCTGGTCTAAGATCAAATCTTAGACCTACATGACGGCTTCTAAAGTGAAGCCAAAACATCTAAATCGCCCCCTGGTGGCCATCTAGAGGCAGTGTTTATGACCTACACTGCAGCCAGCCACTAGGGGGCGATCAAAACGCTTTGGTTTAATTTTTTGAGGAGCCATCATGTCGTCCATCTTTATTTACAGTCTATGATCCTCCCATAGAAAACAAGTTGGGTCTGATGGTCCGACCTTCCTCTCTGTTCCAGGCCGCCGCTGCCAACGACCTCATCGCAGACGAATACCTGAAAGACGCCAAAACACCGGAGGACATCAGAGACGGGTTCACTGAAATCATGGGAGACATGCTCATGACGCTGCCCGTCGTCAAGGTGGCCAATTACCACATCGGTCAGTGGAGCGAGACAGGCAGAGCACAGTTTTACTTTAATATTCTCCGAGTGAAGCGCTGACTGGTTCTACAAAGTAATGGTACTTTGGTACAATCTGTCAGTTTGACTCCAGGATGAACTGATTTGATTTTGTTGTTGGTGGAAGGTCAAAGGTCAAGCTGGTGACGCCCGGCACCTTGTGTTTTGTCTCCAGACGCAGGTATTCCAGTTTACATGTACGAGTTTGTGCACCAATCGGAGATTTACAAACACACCAGACCCGACTTCGTGAAGTCAGATCACGCAGATGATGTCGTCTTCATGTTTGGTGCATGTTTCTGGAACGGACATGTACAGATCGGAGGTTGGTGTAGTATATTACCTTCAGTGTGTATTTACGTCTCCTCTGGGTTTAGAGCGAATAAATGAGGGGACGAGTGGGAGGAAGATGATTTAGTTAATGTTGATCTGATTTTGTAATTAAAATCCTTCTGTCCCATCTTCAGCCAACTTCACCGAGGGAGATAAACAACTGTGTCGGACCATGATGGCGTACTGGGCCAATTTTGCCCGTAATGGGTGAGTAAGCACTGAGAGCCGCCATAAAGTTATAACTGCACTCATCAAGATTTTTATATGAACAACAGAAAAACATCTGACTCACTGTTTTGGTTTTATTAGCACAACTTTATAGTTTTGTTCGTCCCTCATCACTTCCACAGTGTTCAGAGGTTTTCTGTCAGTCGGGCCGTCTCATTCTCGTGAACACAATCTCTCAAGAGTTTGACTAAAGGATGAGCGAAGTCGATCTTGTGTTCAACGGTCAAAGGTTATGGTTGACAGTACCATTTTTCAAGATAAATCATATTTACAAAAACCTTTGAAATTGGTCCAGATCCATGTCCAGATTATTTGTATTGACTGTCGCAGTTGCCTCATGAGATGAGTCACATCCGCTGTGTCGCAGCTGAGTTCTGAAGCACCATTTAATCACACACCCACATTTATAAACAAGGACCCAGGTTGCAAAATACTGGAATTCCCCTTCAAATTCCCCTTTACATCACAGACGTGGATGTAAACTGCAGCTTAACTGCTTGACGGAGGCGTTCAACCACAAGGTGGTAATTCGAGTAATAAACTCACCACCAGAGATCCGATGAAGTTAACGCTGAAGAATTTAGCAGCTTAACGAGTCCGATTGTTTGATCTTGAATACTGAGCAGAGAACAGAGAAATAAAACACATTGAATAAGCACTTTAAGTTAAAAATGAAACTCTATAGAAGTTGGAATAAATGGTCAGTGCAGAGTTTTATTTGCCTTCATGTGTGTTCCCTCCTCAGATCTCCGGACGGTCCAGGTCTGCTCAGTTGGCCTCAGTATTCCAAACAGAAGCAGGATTACATGGAGCTGGGCCTGACACAGACTGTGAGACAGAAGCTGAAGGAGGACAGAGTCCACTTCATCACCATCACCCTTCCTCAGAAGCTGGAACAGTTAGCAGCAGCAGCAGGAGCAGGAGCCACACCTGGAAACTGACGTCTGCCAGCTGCCGTGTTGTTGGTTTGGGTTTTATTTGTCTGCCCTCTCCTCATAACTAACTTGTATCCGATCAGTAACTGTCCAAACCAACTTCTCTCTGACTTATTCTCCAAGTTTAACTCCACTTGTGTGTCTCGTTTCATAAAGTAGCTTTAATAAAAGGAAATACTTTTACTGCAAAGAAAGAAAAACTTGTCTCTTATTAAAACACCACCTTTGTTTGAAGCAGTGCACAATGTTTTTAGCATCAAGACATAAATGAACAAACAAAGCAAACGCAAAAGATTTGAAATAAAGCCCAAACCTCCACCAAGCACAACAATCGCCTTAAATTAAATCAAGCATCATAGTTAAGACTGTACAACACTTTTAAATCCACCAAATGTAGAGTTCTATGAATGACTTCCTGTTACATAGGAGGAAATGTCATAAACAACGTCCTGTCTGACAGTTGAGCTTCACGACTTCACAAATCCATAGTGTTAGTTGGGACAAGGTTCTAAAAAAGGGCAAACGTAAATCTGAGCACTCGTGAATTACGTTATATAATTTGATATACTTTAATATGACGACACTTGTACTTCTGTAGATACATTAAGGTCTATTCAGTCATCAAATTAAATGAATTCCTTTTCATACACCTTGTAAAATATTAAGCTTTTATTAAATGAAATACTGTCACTGCAGCATATTTCACAGAGAGACGTGCCAGCATCACCAACCACGGAATAATCTCGAATAATTAAAAACTCAAAATTGTCGTTAAATGTTTCCCCCTCCCACACACACACACACACACACACACACACACACACACACACACACACACACACACACACACAGTGGTAGGTAGATCATTTTGTATCTATCCCTTCAGTTTAAAACTTTTCCTCAGAACACTTTAATCGTGCTTTTATTGTGAAGGTGACACGCGCTGGCTCCAGGGGCTTGACGCGGCGTCACGGCTGCTGGGACACGCTCATTGGCTGAGCCCCTCGCCGACGTCACCGGGTTCCCCCCT